CTGAGGAATAGTCTTTTTCATCCTTTGCAGTAAAGATATATATGATTGACTAGCCAAGTCGATTTAAATTATTTAGTGTACATCCATAAAACTTTATGAATTACTTGCTGCATATGTGATGACACTCGCCAGTGTTGCCCATTTTGTGTTGATTTTGTTAACGTACATTACTAAGGAGCTTTTCATCAAATTTTGCAGTCCCTGAAACATTTTCATCTTTAAAGTTACAAATGTGATTTCTCAGCTGCTGTATAGAAAATATGGAACCAGAAATACTAAAAAATGATAATTGTTTTCAAAGTATTAATCTTTTTAGTCACACAGTTGTTTTTTACATGCTATGCTGAAAATAACAAGAAATTTGGTGCAGAGGGAAAAATGATTTTTTATGACTTAGTAGATAATTCACAAATATATGTTGAGATATTAGGATTTATGTCCTACCAGTTTCAAAAGTACTACAAGTGACTTGTTCAATACGGAGTACAACTTTAAAAAATGTATTTAAAGTAATTGATGTTGTGTTTGTGACCTGGCTTGAAGTTCTCTTTTGGTGAAGAGCATGCATAAAAAGGTTTGATAATTATTTACTCAGTGAACAAATGTTTTGAGTGCCTTATGAGTCAGGCATTTTTGTGAGTGCTGGAGATAATAGTGATGAAAAACAAAAGTCCCTTTTCCTTATAGAACTTAAAGTGTGGGAAGGCAGATAGTACAGAAATAAATTGATGGATGGATAGATGGATAGGTAGGTATTTACTATATAGCAGGTACTGTTTCTGCTTTTGTATAGTGCTGTGGAAATGAGTAAAGCCAGGACAAAGGAAAAGAAGAGGTGATGCTGGTGGGTATTATTTTAAGTTGGATGGTTAGAGAAAGTATTGAATAGGGAACATTTGAACAGAGTCCTCCATGAAGGAAGTAAAAATAATAAAAAGAGGAATAGCCAGCACAAAGGCTCTGAGGTTGCAGCACACTTTACCCCTCAAGAAAGAACGGTGACAGAAAGTGAGAAAGAGAGAAGTAAAATAAGAGTTCACAGTGGTGGGAATGTATGTAGATGATAGAAGGACCCAACAGGCAACCATAAAAGACATTGGCTTTTACTCTGAGTGAAATGGGAAGCTCTTAGTGGGTGTTGAGCAGTGGATTAGTAAGATAAAACTTATTTCATTATGCATTTCAGGTACTTACTCCTAATCATAGTAATTAATAAATTATTAATTTGGAGTATAGGAAGTTCATATGTGAAGTGATGGGTGTTGGCTCTTTTAGAATTCAGTGAAAATTCTAAACTTCTTGCAGAAAGTGATTCCAAGCTTTGAGTTACTCTTCCTGATGATCAGTACAATTGGTTTACTTTCTTGTTATCTTTGTCCTAAAGCTTCTTAAATCACTTTGTAGCTCAAGTCTAATGGATTATACCAGCCCATGTAAATTCTGAAAATGTTAATATTGCCCAGTGATTCAGAGGCTTTAGTAATTTGCTTAAACTACTTCTTGTTTTATTGGTATAAACTGTATTCCTCAGTGTCTACTATGATTTCAAAGTTAGTACTTGGCTTGGAATTTTCCTTTGAAGCTCGTGACTGTAGTTCAATATAAGATAGGCTGTCAGAGCTCCACTTACTTAACAACTGTATCTGTGCCCAGTTTTATTCCTTTAAGCATCCTAGAGTAAGTATTTCAAATGGCTTTGAATTATCAAAGGTCATTTTGAAAAACAAGATTATTGAGAAAATATTTTAAAAGTTCATGAGAAAGTTGTGTAAAATACACCCCCCCACCCAAGGTAGGCCTGAAATGCCACTAAATCAACAAAGGATAGTGAATAAAAGTTACCCTGTATTTTCTAGGATTTGGGGAAAGTGGAGTAGCTCTACTTTCTTTAAATAACCTATTTTAAATTTGTTTGAACAGCAGAATTATTATACCTCTTTTTCATCCAGAATGGAGTTGACTGTAAGCATCTTTTTAAAGTACCCATAGGTCAGGACCTCTCTGGACTTTCCACTACCTTGAAAGACACTGCCAGAAGAATGTTGTTCCCCACACTTACAAAAGGAACAGTAATGTTCTTTTCTTCAGCCATTATTTTATGCAAAGTCCAACTTTATTTTATCAGAGCTATCTGAACTTTCAATTTATTTGAAACATTCATTGACTAATATCTTTAATGGAGCTTTTAATGTCTCTGATCATTTATCCTTTGTTAGGTTAGCAGAACTGTAACAACACAGTTACTTTAACAGCTTCAAATGATACTTTCATAGTCATTTGTGGACATGTACTATGCAGTGTCACAAAGTTTGAGCCACCTGACAAACCTATTTCTAGTTGAGATCAACAGGGTGATGCTCTGCCTTCTTGTTGCAGCTGTCATACCGTAAACAAGTGTCATTTTCATGGTCCATGAGGAAAAGTATAGCATTTTCCTCATTTTGGTGCTTTTCATTAGTGATTGTGCAGTTTAAAATGGCCCCAAAACATAGCCCTGAAGTTCTGTTTAATGTTCCTGAGTGCAGGAAGGCTGTAATTTGCCTTAAAGATAAACTAATGTGTATTAAATAAACTTAATTCAGGCATTAGTTATAATGCTGTTGACCATGAGTTCAATGCTAATGAATCAATCTATATTAAAGATATATTTAGACAGAAACACACATAAAAAAGGTTATGCGTTGATCAGTTGGCAACAATGTTGTGACCAGAGGCTTGTGAGAACTGTATTTCCCCTAGGAGCAATGGTTCAGTATTTGTTAATTCAGTGGTTGCAGCAATTTTATAGAACGCAATTACTGTGAATGCGAATCAACTGTATTTCATTAACAGTGGTGATTTATAGGGACTTTAGATACCAGAAGTGTTTCATAATTCCCTTTCTCGAAACCATTGTTTTAATATGTTTAAATGCATGCATGCAGAGTTGTGATGTTAAACATAATTTTACTGTGGGTTCTGGTCAAAAAGAGGAAATGTCATCAGTTAACTTGAAAGATACGTTATTCTAAACATTATCCTCCAGAAAATTGGCATGTACAAGAAGCATATTGAATGCTCAGCAAATAATTTGTTTTAGAGTAATAATCTTTGAGTATTTTAGTGATTCTAGTTTTGGAAAAGAAGGCAGTATCAGTGTTAGAGAATAATATTCTTTCAGGATTTTATGTGGTTACTTTAAGGTGTATGAAAGAAGACTCACTTGGGTGTTAAATTCTTGTCCCTGCTTTACTTAAAGCTAGTAATCTTGAGAAATTTACTAAATCATTTTAAGCCTGATTACCTTGCCTGCAAAATGAGGAACATTTTCAGTTTAAAATTTTATTTCTTTTATTAGTATTCTTCCTGACCTTGAATCATTTCTATTCCCATCATATCCAGTTGCCAAGAAATCCATGAACCTTAATGTTGTATATTAGCCATCAGATTTTATTTTACTGAACTCAAGTTCAGTCACATTAGTTACCGATAAAATCATGTTATATATATTAATAT